TTAATTTAATAAGAAATTATGAAGAAATGTATTATTACCTATAATATTAATCCCAAACACGATATAAACCTTTTTTTCACAAGCAAAGTTTTGCAAGCTTGTTATGATCACAATTTTTTTAATCATTGAGAACTCATTTTCCACTTTCTACATAAGCAATCTCATACTGCTTCCGTTTTAAAGATGCTTTTCTTTTGATCTACTTTCCTCTAATACCTTCTGATTCTTGCTAACAATGCTTTGTTTTTTATCTCTAACCATATTAACATCATATTCAAGTGGTAACTGGCGTAAAGAAGCCTCGATTAAGTGTGCGATAGCTTCAACAAGAGAACTCTCAGACCCATTAGAAACTCGACAAAAAATATTTGATTTTATTTTCAGTAAAAGATCATCTTTTTCGTATTCTTGTTTAACCCAACGTGCATGATCACTTTTTCAGATAGCAATATCATAATTCCTCTTTGTAATGAAATTTGTACATACTTGTCTTACCAAAGCATCTTTGCTTAACCCCTTTATAGAACTCCTTTTACTCTATTCACAAAGTATTAAAATTTTTTAAACAGCTGCAGTTTCTGTATAAAAATTATCATATAATAAAAATGCATGCTATAAGAACATTCTGCTTTTCTTCATTCAGTGAGAACTGGGAAGATTCAAGATCGACTATGTCATTAATTAATAGATCATTGTACAACAATATATCAACATTATCACATAACATTTCAACAAGATGAAAATGAGTCTGTGATTTATCTCACTGATGTCGTAAAATATCCTTCATACTGCCAATATTGCACATAGGCCGAGTTTTCCATTGCATGATTTTTATACGTTTGTTTATTACAACCTATTATAAAGTATATACAATTTATTCTACTCATTTGGTAAAAACTTACCAAAATAAATCAGTATTTTTCTTCAATACATTAAGCTCTTTCAAAATAAATCGTAACTTGGGTTTTTAAAAAAAATAATTAGTTTGATTCAGAAAAATATATTAAATAATGTATATTAAGCAATTATAACCAATTATAATTACAAATAGTATAACAATGCAGATTATCATTAGTAGTTCATCGCTTCGAATATGGGATACCACTTATTCAGATACCCCTAGCTCTCCCACAAAAAATTGTTCAGCTCTGTAATTTTGGGATACCTTATGTCAAGAAAATCCTGGGCTAAAGATCACTTCCAACCCTATCCGGATCCAATAAAATTACAGGATCTTGTGTAACAAAACAAATGCAAAAAACATAAGAAATTGTAAAAAAAATGTAAATAACACAAAAATTTATTATGATAACTAACTTCTGACCTCTAAATAAAAGTTTTCAGAATGAAATTTTATTTATGAAATACAATTGTTAATGCTAGATATATAGGGAATTTTTGAGATACTATGACCTATATTTTTTTGCCAGCAGCTCGGGATTTTCTTGACATAAAGATACTCATAATTTTGACCAGTCGAATTTCAGGATCAGGTGTAATGTAAAAATCTACTTTTTTACAAAAAACAATAATAACTCTAAATTTTAATTAGAAAGCCACCTTCTGCGGTCTCATTAAAAATGTTCCTTGTGATATTTTATTCATAAACATTATATTTTTCTAATTCTAACTCTAACTATAACACGGTTTTCTTGGATTTCATTTTACACGTAACTTTTTTTACTTGCATATGTTAAAAAATAGAGGAATTTACAAATAAGGGGACCGTTAAAGCTATATACCTACATGACTTTTGAAATTTTAATTGTAATTAGAGTCAATGTTAGTTTAATGTTAAGATGAGAGTAGGTTTATAGATAAAATTACCTTTCTGATATTTTTTTTTTAATATATCAAGACAGGTTTAAAATACCATTTTTCATATCTTTGCATTTTTTGATTTTTTGACTTCTTCGGGATGATCAAATTTCATGATTATGATTGGTTGATCTATATATAAAAAGTCACATGGATACATAGCTTTAACGAACCCCTAAATAAGGCCCAAAAATGAAAATAATTACAAATAGGGCCCAAAATAAGAATAATTATAGCAGATTAAGGGTAGGGTATACAAATTTCTAATTTCATATAAAATAAATTGTAGATCAACTTTGTGTATATAATATTATATAATTTACATGTAAATATTATATGATTTGACCAATCAGAATTATCAATTTTTTGTACTATTTAGGAAAAACATATAGGGATCTAAAAAAATTTAATTATATATAAAGTTGATTTTTTTTCAATATCTTTTTTTTTTTTTTTAAAAAATATCAGCAGTCTTGCCAGTATCTTTATTAGATCAAAGCATGTACAAGATACACATAAGCTATTTAAGTTACAGATCTGACATCACTCAGCTGTTCCTAGAGGTGTTCAAGTGCAGTCTGCTTTACTAATTAAGGCTATTGCCCATAACAGAGGACTATACCAAGCTAGCCTCAAAAACTATCACAAGATGATTTCAAAATGAAAGAATTTTTGACTAAATTACGTTAGCAATTTTCTCTTTCTAGAATATCCTCCTTTTTAAAACAAAGTTCTAAATCTAATTTTCTAATAATAATCAACAAAACTTCTTCTTTTGATACAGAGTTATTGCCAAGATTCTTTTATTTGTATTTGTATTTTCTTTTTTTTTTCTTTCAATTTAACCTGTCTTTTTCAATTAGAGACCTGATTCTTGGAAGTCTTCTTATATCCTTTACTATAATCTTTTTTTCCTGTTTTATAGCTTTGTATCTTCTTTCTTCTTCTCGAGGGCTTGTTCTATAAGTTTCTTCTAGTAATGTTTTTCTATATGTTTTCTCTTTCTCAAAATATCTTGAGTTCTCTTTTGGTTTCTTTATTTTCAGGTCTTGATCAAACTACTTGAGTTCTTTTTCTTCTGTATTCTGGATATGAGAGTCTTCCTCTTTTCTTTTCTTGGTTTTTTTCTCTTGTTTTTTTTCCAGAAATTTTTCTTGTATTTCGCTAAAGATTTTTTGGTTTTTGAGATATTCTACAAAAATTTTTTCCAATATCTTTAATAACGTATTCTTTTTTTCTTTTTTCAATTTTTGACACTCTTTTGCCTAGGTGCTAATATACTTTGAGATAGATTTATATTCAAATTCTATTGGGATTTCATTTCATATATCCATTTTGCAAGCAAATCTTTCTTCTTTTTTTTTTACATTTTATTATTATACTGTGAATTTTTAATGTTTATTTAATATATTACTTCTGTTAACCATTCTTCTGGAGTTGTTAATGTGATTTTTGGTCTTGATTCCTCTTAAATTTTGTTTAGCATCTTTGTTTCTATGAAACCTGAAATATCGTGTCTCTTGTTTTTATTTTGCTTTTTTTTTTGGGGAGATTTTTTTTTTTTTCCTAATATACTAGAGTGAGTTCAATAAATACTTTAAAATGTATTACTAGAGTTCTTGGATATTCTATATTTTTGCTATAGTTTTATATATATAAAAATTTACACTATAACATATTGTGTGATTGATAAAATGATAGAAATTTAATTAAATCAAGAATTAAGTTTAAAATTAAGAATATTTATAACTATAACCGATGGTGATGATCACCAGTGTATAATTAGCCAATAGATTTGCAGGATCAGGTGTAACGTACAAATTAATTTGTGTAACAAAAATAAAGATTTTTTTTAAAAAATGACAATATCTCAAGAATTCGCCTATGAAACTACCTTCAATATTCTAACAAAAAAAATTCCTTGCTAAATTTTTCATATATCTAACACCTTGCTAAAATCCCAGACCTTACCCTAACCCTAAAGTAAATAAAATAAAATCTTTATTTAGTTTATCATTATTGGCTAATTATATACCGGTGATAATCACTGCCAGTTATTCAAAGTTATTTTCTAAAATTAAATATAAAATTATATAGTATAGAATTAAATATAAAATTAATATATATATAAATTAATAGAGTTTTATAAATAAATACTATAGTATTAAAAATTAATTGCATTTTTATTTTTAACTAGTACTCGAGATTAAAGTTGAGGCATGGAGCACGAGGCATGCCTTTCGGGCATGCCCTTTTTCAAAAAAGTTATATATGTAAAAAGTTGTCATGTAAAAAATTTTGGGGGCATGCCTATAGAGCATGCCTCTAAATCAAAAAAAACCAGAGGCATGCCCATAGGGCATGCAGCAGGGGTGAACGTCCTATCATTTGTAGATCAGTTACACAATTGATAAAAAACTTTTTTATATTGGTTTACAATACTTTTTTAGGAAGTTCGTATAACTTATCCTGCTATAAAAGGTGGATGAGTCTTCTAAGCAAACTTGAAATATTCGAACCACATTATAACATATTTATTTAATCCTAGTTAATCCTACACTGTTGTGTTGCTATATCTTAGCAAAGTTACGTTTAAAACATATATAGTTGAAAATGTAAAACCACCAAGTTGACTAAATTTTGCATGACAAACAAAAAAAAAAAAAGCAACACTAAAAAGCAACGATTCAGTAAAGATAATGTATCAAGTACATTTGTTTATTTAATTATTAATATATGTGCTGCATAGAAATTTTTTAATTAATGAATAATAA